TGGTGTGATAATGGAGGAGAAGAGGCAAGTGACAACCTCCTCAGTCAAGATGCCGAAGCTGCGTCTGAACACCCAGAGCATGCACAGTTCGATTCGGTGTAGCCTGTCTACGTATGTAACAGTGGACTGTCAAGAGTGCAGGTTCGGCCGTCACAACCTTTCCTCAAGCTCATGAGCACCGACTTGGATGTTGACCGGGAGGAAAGATTATGCAGACCACATGGAAGGGCGTTGATATCTTACTGAAGTAGGCCGCAGTCGTAGGAAGTGCTTATCACTCCTCGGAAACAAGGCACACGGCGACCGAAGAAGCTGAGATACGTCGTCGAGGTATATCAGGAGCAATGTAGACCCGAGCAAAGTGCCTTGGGGTACGCCACTGGTCGAGGGATACCAGTCGATCAGCTGGCCATCGACTTGTGCCCTCCAATTTCGTCCAACAAGAAAGCTCTGAGTGCTCTGGTGCGGAGATCTACCAACACCACACACTCTCAGCTCATGGAGGAGGACAGCGTGGTTCAGCTTGCCGAAAGAGATATAGATCATGTCGGCAGCCTTCCCCTGGTTCATGGCTTACAACCATTCCTACCTCGTCACGAGCAGGTCGGTGATGCATAAACGATCTGGCATGAAACCGTGCAGCGCGAGCGTCAGATCAGCGACAGACCAGAACAGTCGTGTCAAACGCTCCTTAACAATTTTTCGGCAACCTTGGCCACAAAAGGCGTCAAACAAATTGACTTGTAGCTGTCAACTTTGTTGGGACCACTGCCTTTCGGAATCGGTCTTATCACCGTGTATGAAACAGCAAAGAATCTTTGGAAAGCGACCCGTTGAACAGGTCAGCTACGGCAGGCGAGATAATGGCCACTAAGGACTTAAGATCCAGTGGGTGGGGCCCGTCAGACCCAGCAGGTTTGATATCGTCGAACTTGGCGAGTAGTTGACGCACCTCTCTCAACACCACAATCTAAACTATAAGGTCGGTGTACGCCGAACTCGGTACAGGCACCTAGTCATTTGAAAACACAGAAGCGGAGTGGGTCGCCAACACAGACGCATGCTCAGTATGGAGGTTAGAGGCTGTCCGTCCGCGTCCCTATCACTGGCAGGTCACCTGTCGGTTTCAGGCGCTGCTTCCTATACGCAAAATTTTCTTCGGGGCCGTCATGCCGCGGTTGTAAGTTGCTCTTCGAAATACCGACGCTTGCTCGTTCTCGACTGTTGCAAATGTTTCACTGCTTTTTATACACCTCGTAGTCGTTGCCAAGGCAAAATCTGATAAAGAAACAAAGTAAAATCCGGGGTATGCCTATGCAAATTACCTCTTAGTAGGTGGTATTTCGCTGAGATTTCGTGCAGACCTCTCGTTGTTACAAAACCAAAGCTGATGTACGTGAGCTGGTGTACTGCGAAGTTGCGCACACACACAGGCTCAAACCAGTAACCTGAGGATCACAGGCTAAATATCTGAACCACCAGTGAACCGGAGCGAACAACACAGGAATTCACAGTGCATCCTAGAAGAAGCACAGACGTGATGATGCAGTGCGTAGATAACGTTTTGTAACCAGACAGCGCGCCTAGCGTTGTAAGAGTGCGAACTACTGGAAATGGCGTAGTGCATCGTTGAATATTTTGTGCATCAAATGGTTAGTGCATGTATGAAATTCGGACTAGTGAACCTGAAAACCAGTTCGTAGTGCGAAACAATAAGATGCATAGAGAAGCAGAATACCAATATCACATGCGTTCGGACATGAAACCGGGACTAAGCTAGTTTCCGCAGAGGATCATACTCAAGAGACAGAGGTTGGTATGGTCAACAAACGACCAAATCTATAAGGCACAGGATACAGAGAACCACCAACTCGCGGTGAGCATGCTTGGCGACAGAAGGGAGTTTCCCTGCGTCTGAAAGGCCGTGTATACATGGCCACAGTCAGGGCCGCTCTGCTCTATGGTAGTGAAACTTGGCCCCTTCGGTCTGAAGATCTGAGGCGCCTTCAAGTCTTTGATCATCGTTGTTTGCGAAGCATTGCTGGTGTCGGATGGCACCAGCGTGTCCGCAACGATGATGTGCGTAGGCGAGTACTAGGTAGTGATAATCATGCTAGCACCCTAGAACAACAGATAGCACTGAATAAGTTGCGTTGGCTCGGGCACGTGCTACGCATGCCTGGTCACCGCTTACCTAGGAGGGGCTTGTTCAGTCTACCAGGTGTAGGATGGCGCCAGGCTCGAGGTGGACAGAAGTTGAGTTGGCAGCGGGCAATGAAGTCACCGACGACCAAATTGGGTGCCATTGGTCCGTCTCGCCTTCCGGGTTGGAGACCACGTGACTCACCTTGTGCCTGGCTCGAGACTTTGCAGGACATGGCTCGTAACCGACACCAGTGGCGCGTCTGCTGCCGTCTTCTAATTGGATTGCCTGTTTAAAGTATGTTTGGTGCTGAGTTATCTGCAGGGTAATGGATGATTATGACGCAGGGCAGTGAAAGCCGCAAGGAAGCTGTCTCGCCGATGCCGCCTTATCTTTACACGATAGCCAGCTGTTTGTGACAGTATGCTGTCTACATAAGGTGTAGGCGCCTTGACCCTGAATGTTTGCTTAGGGCATTAAGGTTTTCAGGTAAGTCTCCCTTTCTCTCCCTCTTCTTATTCTTTATTGCATAGGTCCTCATGGTTGTATGGCAGCGAAGCATCAGTTCAAATGGCTGATGTACTGCTGTTGATGATGATGGTGAGCATGCTTGCATGAGTCTCATGAGCGATAGCTGATAGATCCGTAGAAGTAAGCTTTACATGACTAGAGAATCGGTGCTGGCAGATAACGGAGGCCGTGACAGATAGGATGCAATACAACTGCATTGGTAGCTGAGCCGAAGTGCTACTTATACTTAATGTCCAATGATGGTGAAGAGAGATGACACTTGAGTCGGGTCCAGACTAAACACGCCGAATTCGTGAGGGGGTACAGCGCCTGGTGTCAGTTTGCCTAGGGGCTGAATCCGATAGCCTAAGAACTATACAGTCCGACTAAACTAGTTACGTCAGTCCGTTAGCAGGAGCAAACTCCACACCGAAGGGAGTAGAAAATATGGGGTAAAATGTAGTCAGGAGCAAAGTCATGTGAAGAAAGGGAAGCACAGCAGCACCAGAGTACCGCACTTGTGACAGCGGACACAAGGAAAGGTATTCTGTAGACCACGTTTGGGCACTCGAGCATAGCGGTTGGGGCGTTTTTGAATAACAGGAAAATACAAGGACACGCAGTTCAGACAGAGACTGCCACAAATTACCGTGATTAAACGAGGCTAAAAGGTCCTCCAAATCATAGAGATGAGCAGTTTGTACCCATGTCAGTGTATAAGGACAGCGTGTAGACATCTGACTTAATCAACCACTTCAGGAGCGGAAGGCAGCATAACATCCATTGAGTACGCTTCTCGAGGAACAATGAAGCGTCGTAGGATGATACGTGTGACGAGCTTAGTAACGGCAATAAAGCAAATGTTGTGCACTTCTTAGAAACTGCGATGACAACCAATGACTAGCAAGCTGAAGATGCCACACCTCGATCATCGAGCTACTGAACAGAGTAAATACGCAAACAGCTAGCAAGTCATTATGGAACTTTGACAACGAGAGATTGCGCACTTACAGTACCCATGTCTTGTGTTGGTTCAGTAACTCCAGTAGGATGTCTTCGAAGATAGTGAGCAGCTCAGAAGTGATAGAGACAAACGTGAACTGCTCTTCGAAGCGGCCCACTCAGTATTCAAGTCAATCAGTAAGAAAAAGGATCAGATGAAGATTGTTCTCAACGTATGACTCACAATGGTACCATCGCAGACCTGCATCTCGGGGAAGTTGGATCAGTAATCGATCATTTTTAAATATCGTCTACTTTACATTAACATTTGCAACCAACGTCTAGGCTCTTCGCCAGATACCGCTGCAGAGGGATGCACGCACTATAAAAATGAGCACTTAAATGAACCGACCAGCAACCCTGGGCAGAACAAACGGAAAACCTGAGGAAACATCAACTATTCAGATACCTCAAGCCAATGGAGAAGGTTAGGACTACGACCTCGTCATGCACTGCAAGTGATACTGATTGGTGCTTGACTAATTTATCTCATTCGTCAGGGCCAACTGAACTGAGTAGTGGACCGGGAATTCGAGTGGCATATAAGGAATCTCAAAGTTGGATGCTCTGCTGAGGCTTTCAGATTGAGCTTCACCAGGACGCGCATCCAGGTGCAATCCAAAATGCTGGTAGCCCCATTTGAGTGTTCGTTTGTTGCGACATTCGCCAAGGTGGGCTTTTAGTTGCATACGTTTCGTCACCAGTCGAGGTGACATCACCAGCGCGTAAGACTTAGTGGTATTGTAGCAGAAGCTGCTAATGGAAGGCAAATCTGGGTAAGGATTCATTATCTAGCTTGGCGAACAACAAAACAACTGCGCGTGCTCAAGATCAAATGACAAGCTTGAAATGACACGCGCCGCTGCAGATGACAGCAGTACGGCATATCAGAGTCCAGGGCAGCGTGTCGTTCGGCGAGCGGCAGGCGAAGTGATGCGAGCGTTTTTGTTCAAAGAATGTGACGATGGTGCAATGATTGAGGTCGGCACCCAAGGTGAGCAAGCGATAGAAACTACGAATGTAATTAGCACTGATGATGCAGGTGTTGTGGGGTCTCTGATAAGTGGGCGCGTGATTAGTTGTGTTACCAGTTATGACCATAATACCAACAGGAATAGCTAAACGGACAAGGAGCGACAAGAGTTGGTGAGAGAATTCAGCCTGAAGGTAACCGTCGGACTGTAGACGGCGAGGGTACCAAAAAGTAAACCTCATAAAAGAGAATCTCTGCGGCGCTTTGGGGAGCATGACGAGATGGTAGGTGGCGGGGGAAGAACAGAAGCAAACGAAGCACAAAAATGTGAGGTTACCGGAGGGAAGAGTTGCACAATCGAAGAGGACTTACACGTTCACACAGGTTTAACGACTCCATATGTAAGTCCCGCGCGAGGTACAGGAATTCTCTGGTGCGAGCGGAATCGTTATCATCGATAGCGATCTCTTCAATGATAAGAGCTAAATAATGAAAGAAAAATGATTCCGTAACATAATATGAGAATCCTCAACAAAATCGCAGAGTAACAATGAGATAGGGAACATAAGTGCGACAGAGGAAGATTATGTTTTCCAGAGCATCTGTGGCAAAAAGCAACGAAGTCAACCACTGAACTCTTGTCGTGCGCATCACGGTTGAATTTTTCATGTGGAGTTAATGATCGAATCGTTCGTACATGATAATTAGGTTGAAGCGAGGGAATCGGTGGCCGGCTGGTTAAATGCAAATGGCAATCCTGTGCGAGTTGACGAGGTTCGATTATAACACCATGCAATGTGTTACTTCCAGGGGGCGAAACGAATCCGCTCCGAAAGTATTATTGCATCACAAGCAACTAACAAGAGGTACAGAAGTCAAATGATGATCTACGCTCATATGCAGCGTCGGCGTAAACGAATCACATGCGTAGATAATCAGTGATCACGTTGAGCGTCAACCAAAACGCAAAACACAGGAAAGGGAACACGATCGGATGACAATCCGTAATCTGGTCGCAATAACATCGTATTGCTCACCTTTGACGCGGTTCGCCGATGCGGCCTGCATGCACATCTCGTGATTGAGTCGTTTTAGCATGACGCCAGCTACTTCAGCGCAATTCAATGCGTATGTGAAGTCACCAGACGTGTATTCCAAAACGTAATGTGCATAGGCGATAGCTTCAAGAGCCAACGCAGCCATGATACTGGATCCAGGTAGGCAGCTAAGAATCAGGGTAAGCGCAACCTATGAAGGGTGAAAGTAAGGAAAAAACAGCAGTTTAATAACAACAAAATATGCAATAAAACGGGCCCAGTGACCGCACAATACATTGCAATCAAAATTCTGGAGTGAAAGGCATAACATACGCCCAAGTGAGAAATACATAAACCCAAGGAGTAACTTAGTCACTTCAAAACTTCACCAAGACTGCTTTTCGAAGAGAAGGGTATACAGGAAACGAGGAGGCCCTAAGTGGAAACTGAAGATGCAGCTCTTGTAAGAAGTGCCGAACCCAGTCACAGTTGGTTTCCTAAGGATACAAGAAGAAGATACGAGAACAAGATGCTTGAAAGGAAGGGCAATATCCGTTGAAGTCGAACTATCGAGTTGACCTCATAATGACGCACCGCATACTGCAATTGGGCCACTCTCCTAAGTTGAGACCGCTGCTGCACGTTCGCGTACCAAGCAGCACAAGCGGACACGAGTACAAAACAGTGGTACCGGATTTAATGAGCACCGCTCACCCACTATGCTTCGAGCGTCGATTGGTGAAATATTGGAAGTAGTTGCCAGGCACGCTAGTCGAGGCGAAATCGGTGTCGGAATCTAATAGCTTCCACAATTCCCACTTTGCGGACTACATGTATACGGAGCGCATCGCACCCGGATAAGGTGTAGTGCAGCTGCAATATGTTGCCACCGCGCAGGAATCAGTGACGTGATTCCGCGCAGGTGCCCGATCCAACTACGACGGAGCAACACATATTTTTATCTTCCCGCTCTCTATTCTCAGTATTCAGTATTTAACATCGGAACTCTGCATTGAAGTCTCGATGCCATGCATCCAGGAGGGGTTGTACGCGGGCTGGGGTGGCGCAACCGCCCAAACCTAGACATGAAAGGGGGCTTGAATTTGGATACTTGGAATTGCAGATGCCGGAGCCAATGCGTTAAGGAACCCGTTGAAGTTAGAATGGGAGTAGCAAATGCCACTTCATCGAACCAATGATGTTTTTTCGTGCATCCAAGGATGGCGGAAACGAAGTTGCAGAAGAGACAAGCAGTTAGCACGGTTAAATTGGTCAATGCGGAAGTAAATGAAATTCGAAAACAATAGGATTCGTGCCAGTTATTAGATTTGTCGGGTTAATCTCATTATGAAAAGACTTATGAATAAACTGGTGTATTTCCCGACAGGCGAGACAAGTTCCCATTTGGATAACTATCATTTATATAGCCAAGCTAATCTCAGTGGGTACACTAGAGTTAAGAAGTGCGATTGTTAGCACTGCACCGAGAAAAAAACAGCAAATAGACTGAATCATAGAGAAAATGAGAACGGACGAACGACTGAGGAAAGTTGAGAATGTAATAAATATTGCGTGTAAACGCTACTAGCTGGAGGCAAAAATTAGATCAAATTACTCTACAGACTCATCGACTGGGACAAGACATAGGATGGTCTCGTAGACTGCAAGCATGAATGTACGTCTGTCGATCAATCCCCCTTTGTCTTTCTATCTTGTTAATCGTCCTGCAAGTGTGCAAATTCACTCAACAGGGCTAAGTAGAGGCAAACAACAAACCTACGAATATGCGGTAGACAGGTAGGCGAAGAGTGCGACCTAGTCCAAATTCAACTAGATAACTGATGAAGGAACACAGGAATCTCCGAAACTGGTAAATATGAGAAAATGAGATAATCGTAAATTGTCATTTATCGATATGCCTACACAAGTTTCATAATAGCACCGCCTTTAGACACAGTGGGTTCCGAAGTGACACCTAACGTCCCTCTATAAATGACCAGCGATGGACCCAAATAGATTATATTGCCATAAGTTACAGGCGGCGTGGTTCCATCCTGGACTGTCACTCCTTTTGGAATAATCGCGCCGATTCTGATTATGTTTTGGTACGCCGTCGTTTTCCCTTAAACTTTACCCGGAGGCCTACGAAGTGCCGCCCTCGATTGGCTACTGATAAGTTACCTGTCCTCAATCAGGCAAGCCTACCAGTTTGTCCTGCGTACCGTACTTTCGCTCGCTCATCTTAACGACAGTGGGCTTCCGCGCAATAGAATCTCGGTCGCCATGCACGATGCGCCACTATTAATCATCACCACACAAGTCACTGGATATCCCAGAGGTCAGTGAACTTGTTGGAATCCGGAAGTAAACTCTGGGCTAGCTCTGAGTACAAAGTAACTAGACGGACTATTAGGCGCGAGATAAAGCGGAGCCTGAGTGTTGACAAGGAAGTCAAAAAGGACCAGAAAGGATAAAGAAATGGAGGAAGCAGGAGCAGCAAGTTCTTCTAGCTGATCCGCACCACTGATCTCAGAAAACTAGACGTTAGCGAGACAATCGGAGACAGCGTGGGTGGACTGATTCACAATAAGGAGCGTCGTATGGCTCGTTGGACGGAGCAGTTCAGTTGGCTCCTGCTTCCAACACCCCACTCAGCTGGTGCAGGTTGAGCCATGGCCGGCCCCATCGCAGGCAGAGGTCCGCAACGAAATTACAGACCTTAACCGATTTCGTGCTGCTAACCAGGATTCCCTTAAATACGCACTATTTAAGGACGGACGGGAGGTCCTTTGCAAAACAATAGCCTGATTGTTTGAACAGGTCTGGAAGGAAGAGACCATCCCACAGAACTCACCATCATAATCGATCAAGGTTAGCTCAGAGTGAGAGACACCTCAGCTAATGTGCCGCAATACAGAAAAGATAGATAGATAGACTACAGAGAGCCCGTTTTATTGATTAAGGAGCAACCCTCACCCCAGACGCCAACCCGGAGGGCCAGGAGACTGAGTTTGCCTGGTCTCTAACCGTTGACCCATCTGGAATGAGTGGCTATGAAGGTGCAAAAAGCACCACCCAGCATAGTTCAATGGATCACTTAGGTACACAAACAATCGCACCACGTTAAGGTCAGGTCATATCGAGATAACATCTTTTAAACAGATTCAGAGAAGTAGTGAACCACCTTTTTGTTGAAATAAGAGCACACGTATCACAACCAGGATTCGAAAAGCTGTTTTTAGCGGCACAATGAATAAAAAAGATATTGAGATCAAACTGTAAATAAGAAATACAAATGGATTGTCATCATCATCATCAAAAAACATTAGCTGAAAGTGGGAAATCCAATTCAACTATTGTGCCGCAATAAAAAGATAAAATAAAAAAGTGAGATACTAAACAACATAAAATAAGAGGTAACAAACTACCCAAAAACATTATGCTCTAAGCCGGAGAACGTGGTTTGAGAGGGCAAATAAGAGGCATAGGGAAAAACAAAGAAACTCACAACACAAATGCCATTGAAGTAGGCTCCTTGCCATGTCAACCAGTGTAGCTAACCAGACGAGGTCATCGTCCTTCGGAACCCAGACAGCCAGTCGCCTGAGTCCAACCGACGCCAAATTTGTAGTGACGGCTCTCAGCCGTCATTGCTAAGCCTCCCTACCTCTTCTTTCAACAACATCCCCGGCGAGAAAACAACGCACGTCGCGGGAATCGGTTGACTGGCATGTGCCACACCTTACCCAGAAACCGGATCCTGGTGCGTGATATAACGGTGCGGAGCGGTCTACTGGCTCTTCATGCACAAAATACACGACGCCAAACGCATTCACTACGCAAAACGGTGCTCCCACAAGACATGAGCTAAACTGCGAAGGCAGCAATGATCGAAAGTAACTAGTCTCTCTATGTGTGTCAGCTTGATGAGCCAGCTATCACAACCGTATGGGAAGGTTGAACGGAGAGCCTGTATTGGAAACTATGCCTTTCAGGGCGAGTGATGTCGCACCAGCGCCACAGGTGGCGGAGATTAGAAAAACCACCTCGGCATTCGCTATACGGTTCTTGACCTCATCTTCGATACAATGAGCGCTAATATAGCTGCCCGGGTACTTGAATTCCTGAAGGACTTCTAGTTGATCACCACCACGGGTCCGCGCAAAGGTGTGTTTGCCAACTTTGGACAAGTTTGCATTTCGATGGAGCAAAGCATAGCCCAAAATGATTGACCGTCTAGTTCTGCTAAGCAGGTCTGTGAGCTGTTCTGATAAGGACAATGTCAAGATACTCTAAGTCAAGAAGTGGATCATCAGGAAGCAGTTCCACTCCTTGTAGATCACGTCCAGCGAACGCTGTTTTCATCACTTCGTCGATGCGGAAGTTAAAAAAGAAGGATTATAGCGGGCATCCGTGTTTCTCATGACTGGAGATATTAAAGAGCGGCGACATCATGCCGTAAGCCATGACTGTGCCCGAACTAAGCGAGCACAGCGCTCTGATGTTTACGTAATTATCGAGTATAGTTTCCCTGAGTAAAATGTCGCAAGGGACGCATCGATCAACTGAGTACCGTGATGTCGAGAAACCAATTGTAATGGGTCGCCGTTAAATATGGCGGTGTCTAACAATGTACGTAATGTAAAGATGTGGCCGATACAGCCAAGACTTCGACGAAACCCTGCTTGCTCCTTCCCAATCTGGCTTCCATCTGTACCAGTAAGTCTATAAAGAACGACAGAGGCGATTGAGATCAAACTGATCCCTCTATAATTACCGCATTCCGAACGTGGACCCCATATGAAAATTGGGATTCTAACGGAGTAGCACAAGTCTGCTGAGACAGATTCTTGCTCCCACAGCTTCACAATGAAGTTGTGCAGATAATCTACATGAGGATATCTTCTGAATTCGAAGAGAGCTGGAGGAAGTCTACCGGCTGTTACCGCCGTATTCACATTCAACAGTTTGATCTCCCGTTCGAATTCTGTGCGTAAAAACAGATCCAGGTGGGAGAATCAAGTAGAAAGGTGAGCACTGGCCGATGAATAAGCTGGCAACTCTGATTGATTAAGCTGTTTTTCAAAGTGTTCGGCACAATTATCCATAACCACCAGCGTAGAACGGATCGCATAGCCTTAGAAAATATTCAGCGTTCTTTCAGGAAACTCCTTATATGCCGGTCCGCCACTCTGAACTATGAAAAGCGAT